ACCACCATTCCCTATTTTTTTATGGCGGTACGAAGTTCGCTGGGACAACTAGTGTTATATACAATTGTTACATAAGAAATATATTGACTAGTGTAGCTCAACTATTCAGTGTGATACGACTCATTTCTGTTTGATGAAAAAATGAACCGTTTATGTCAACGAACCTGGTTATGAATTGGCAGAAGTTTAACGAACTCAAAATCCTGCTAAACGTAATTGCATCCACGTGTGACAGGTCCCGTTAAAGACCACCAAAAAAACTGCGGCGTCATCGGATCCCATCGGTTCCGTCCGGTAGCCTTTTATGGACATATCGGTGTTGGCATTAAAGTAATTTTAAATAAAAAAGTGACGATTTAACAACCGCCTCTTTTCTGAAGTCGATTAATTTTACAACTAACAACTGCGAGTAAATTTTTCCACTCGCAGTTGTTAGTTGTAAGATTCCCCATACTGATTTCCAGCCCTCTTTTTACTCCCTTAGAGCTATGGGATAAAAACTATCCTACTTATGTCATTTTCCAGGACACAAACTACTGCTATCATCTAATTCGGTTTAGCGGTTTAAGTGTGAAGAAATATATGAAATTAACTATATTTTTATTGTAAAAAAGACCACAAATATAATAAATTCGCATGATAATAATTGCTTTAGTTATAAAAACTGTGTCGCAACTAAGAAGAGGTAACATACAGTCACTTTCGCATTTATAATATTACTAGCTTCCGCCCGCGACTTTTTTCGTCACCCATCCCATGAGTGTCTTTTGCAAACTCGCTTAATCACCGTGACTACAGCAAAACAATACCAATTGCGTTATAGAACTTATCGAGTACAAAATTTAATACGACACGGGTGACGAGCATTGTCTTGTCATGGAGATCTGCTGAGAAAAAAAAATAACGGCCGAGAGCGAGACGGATTCGCAAATGACGGGTTCCGTACAATAATTAAAATTAGATCCGGAAAAACAAGACAAACAATTCACAATTCATGTCTTTATTATTAACTTTGTTTTGTTTTTGTCAATCATCATCAGCCTATTAATGTCCCCACTGCTGGGGTACAGGCACGGTAATATTATCTATACAGTATTGTGACTCCGCCCTGTCCTTGAAAATAAATGCCTACGGCCGAGCGCTGCGTTAGCACGCGGTAGGGCCGCCCGCCTGCAGTATTTTATGTAGTTTTGTTTTTAACGCGAGTGTAGGTAGATTACTCGTTTGTCTCTTTTTTCATCCTAACCACTTATTTTTATATTATTCCAGATATTTTGCCCGATGGAAAAACCGAAATACCTAAATATTAGAAACAAATTACGTACTAGTAGAAAGGTATATAAAAATATTCTATAAAGGTAAGACACCTTTCCAATATTTCAGGTAGGTAATTTAAAAAATGATATCTGTGGGTGTGTTATTGAAAAGTTCAAGCAATCAAAAACAGCAATTGTGCTGTTGTACGATATTGATCGTCGTTTGTTCTTTTCCAAACTAAATTATGTAGGTATCTACTTAATTAAATCAAATATTTACAATACAAAACGCACGTTTAAGCACGGCTAACTGCATAAAAAACAATTCAGATCGTTCGGTCGTCGTTGCGGCGCGGCGGCGCATTCGCGACTGGGTGCCCGCCGAGAGCACATCGAACTCGAGTGGCGTAGGTATGACTCGCTTTACGACCGTTTGTATGAAGATAGAATACTGTATGATATTATTACCGTGGCACAGGCCTTCCCTATGGATGGACTAGGGAGATTTGGCCATGACCCGCCACGCGGGCCCAGTGCGGATGGTGGGTGCTAACGACTGCAGATGCAGCCGGGACCAACGGCTTTAACGTGCCTTCCGACGAGCCGGATCGACGCGACGGCTCGACCGACCGTACGCGCGTACCAAATCACGCGCGTACCATCAGCGAAGCTGTGTGCGCATTTATAGACTTTCATAGATATAGCTACACCGACCGACGGTGACCGCTGACCGTCGGTCGAGCTCTGTTTCCAGCCTAAATCTACGGCGGGAGACCTTGTACTGAGAAGAACCGCCAAGAAACTCAGCAAGGGCTGTTTTTTTTTCTCCCTGTTTTATTATTTACAGAGTCGTCAAGTTTAAAAATGACTTCTGAGATGATTCCTGAAGTCACCGTTCATTACATTATGTGAAATATACATTAATTTATTATTATACGTTCACCTGCATTTTGATTGCTATGTCACACAGTATAAATAAATATAAATAGTGTTATTTGTTTCTTAGGTTTTCACGCACATCACTCATTAAATAAAACTAGTATTTACGGGTTAATGCACGAACATGCATTAGGGGGACCAAACCACTACATTAGATTTGATAGACCACAGATCCTTGCAGCTGAGCGGCGGTTCGTTCCTCGAATGATGCGCGAGGCTATTGAGATTAAAAAATATCCAAATTTCAATAGGGAAGATGGTTGGTATATACCACCAGCTTGGGAACCTATTATACAGGAGATAAAATCCCAACCCCGAGCACACACTGCAAGACCATCAGATACTATTAGTTCTTTTTGTTTGCATAATTTAATTTAAGAAGGAGATAGAAAGCCTCTCTTGAGTTTGTTTCGCCGGTTCTTCTCAGAAAGGTCTCCTAATTTTGGAACCGGTGGTAGTTTACGGTAGTTAGGGTCAAATAAATAAATTCAAAATTACAAAAAAGAATTTGAAATAAAATACTTTATTAAGTAAATTAAATAATAAATTCATACATAGACAATAAAACTTAAAAATCGAACAATGAAATAACCAAACGCTCAATAAAAGTCTTTCGAAGGTAGCTCGACAAATTGAATAAAAGTTTTATTCTGACGACGTAGCCTGTAAAGGCTACGAAACGTCAATAAATTAATAAAGTTTCGTGCATTAACCCGTAAAAACTAGTTTTATTTAATAAATAGTGTTATTTGTATTAGGTGTAACTAGACATTAACATCTTAAATATCAAAGTAGTTTCATTTACTTATTTATTTATTTACTTATAATGGCACAATAACAGGCATCAGACAAAAAAAAAACAATACAAGTACAAAAAGATATGAAAAACTATGGGCATGCCTGTGCCCAATTACAATTGTGCACAACATTTACAAACAATAATAGACATCGAACAAAAAATTAAAATATATTATTGTAATTCACAAACACCTCAATCAATATAGGCTTTGCAGAGAGGGGAATAACTTTAGTTTTATATTTTTTAGTGTTCAGCACAAATTTTTAACAAAGAATTCTTGAAAGAAAGTAAGCTACAGTTAAACATGTCATGATCAGAGCAAATATTAGTTAGGGCAGGCTCATCTCCGCTGGCAGCACCCGTTCACGAGCATGATGCATGAACCAGCCATCGCTTCGCTCAACCATATTTTAGGAAACGTAACGACCCGCCTTACACGACACCGCTGTGATTGCGGGTTTAGCTGTCGGATTCTATTTCATGTTTGCAGAAAGTCTAAAGACGACACCCTGACTGATAACCATATCGTGTTACAGCATGGTTAGATCACTTATCGTGATCACGCTACGGGCCCTGTTGAAAATCGTTCCATTCGTGAGTCACTCGAAACTTCAATTACCTATCACTATAGCATTGTGTTTACATTAACTGCCGGCACCCGGCGCCACAACTCTCATGCGTCGCGTTACGTAACGAAAATGCGCAATGTCAAGAGCGCTACGTCAACGACTGGTCAGGCTGAGCCACCGCTGAGCTGCCGGGGTCGACGACCGCGATAGCAAACCAAATTTTTAACCTGTAAGCTTTGCTCTTAAAAACTGAAATTATCGCTACTTACTCGGCCTTTTGGCTGATCAAAGAAGACTTTATAAAAGGTAGTTTTAGAGACAAATTAATATTGTTCGACTCGATTGACTCGTTTCTTATGTAACGCAATTACCGAAGTCCGCCGAAGCCGCGGTTTTCAAACTTTGTCTCGTGGAGTAAGGTAGAAAACCTATTTCGAAATTGGAATGCTGTTCATTTTTAAAACGACATTCAAAAAGGTTTAAGAGACTTTTTACAAAATTGCGCCGCTGTCGTACTGATCGGAGCGTAGGTAAATTTGCACTAGTATATATTGCATTTTACGGGTAATGTTTCGAGTCTTATAAAATAATTATAATTATAAGAATATATACATATTTCAGTAGTTCAATGTTGGTAGATTAGTTTTATGAAAGTTTTTGATAGTAATTCTATTTAATTCAATATCAAAAGACGAGGTGAACCTGCATAATTTTTTGCGAAACTCACGGAGGTTAGAAGTTTTTTTTGATAATTAATCATCATCTATGCCATGAGCTTGTATTAGGGCATATAATTTATATGCCCTAATACAAGCTCATGGCATATGCCCTAATATAACTCATAATTAACTGTTGGAGCATTTGCTCTAACAGTTAATTATGAGTTAATTCGCATAGCGAAGTTACGTTACAATTTAAGCATTACATTCTGTGTATAATGTGTGTTCAAAAATCAAAATCAGACTTGATGTAAACGTATAACTTAGAGTTTACGCGGCGTAGTGTCAGAAAAGTTTCTCATTCATGAGTTTGACCATCACTTAGGACCGTATTGTAGAAAGATTCTCAGTGATTGATCTAGCCGTGAGCATAGTTAGAAAGGGATGTTGCTATATATAGCACATAGCGATATCCCTTTCTAACTTTTCTCAAGTAAAGATCAACACTTAGTTGTCATTCTGTAATACGGGCCTTAGAATCTGATACAAAAACTAAACTTTGATTAGCTTTTAAGTTTCTTTGGGTAAGATGAGAGCTGCTTTGCGACACTTTAAGAGAGGTAGGCCTAGGGTTGCCACCCGTACTTTATTATAAAGTATTGTACGTTATTTCAGGTTATTGTACTCTATACTTTATGCCAACAATAAAGTACGCGAAAATACTTTGTTTAATGTGATTTTTGATAGGAATAATTTTCGCGTAAAACGGACAGAAAGTATGAATATGTTGCCCTTAGCTAATTCCTGCAACATTTTCGTGGCTGTATGCCTTTGTATCATGACCTTTTCTATTGCGGAAAAAAACTACAGTAGCCGCAAATTAAAAGTTGCTAGTAGCAACATAAAATATATTTTAAGCTTACTAATAAAGTGGAATAAATAGTACTTTATCTTGGACACAATGTACTTTTTTTGCTACCTTTAATATCCAATGTAGTTTATTGCGACAAAAAAAAAGGTAGCAACCCTAGGTAGGGCACAACGGGATTTTCCGCTCGAATTAGAACGCCCATCTGGGGAAGTTACCCCTACCTTAAAGAAGGTAACAGTAAAATAACACTACTTTTTGATGGTGTTGTTTTTCTGCTAGTGAGTAGGGTTCCAGGGCTCCGCAGGTATACCTCGGGAGACCCCTGCCGTGGAGCCCCGGCGAGGCCGAAAATCCCTCACCAAGGTGATCTCCCGCGGCTCTGAATCAGGCAGTGTTGAAGGTAATCGCAGGACTTTTTTAGCGGATATTATGCCGTAAAGCGCCCGTAAGAGTTGCGGGGTCCTCGGTGGACAGCCACTGGGGGGGTCCGTATACTTGCGGGAGCCAGGTGTGAGGTCCGTTCGGCGGTGTGCCCCTTAAAGGCGCCGTCGTCTGTAAAAAGATTTTTTACCTGCGTTATAAAAAAGGGCTCCGCAGGTTAAGGGACTCGGTCCAGGCCGGCATGGTGAGGATGGCTGGAGCGAGACACTATCTGCCGCATCATCTGTCTTTACTACTGGACTCCACTAACACTTAGCATCAGATGAGGCGGGGTGATTTGTTGAGCCTCGTTTAAAAAAAATGTGTGCACGGACCCTTCACGGACCACACATTTGAAGGGAAACTTGTTTTCTTAAATAACCTAACATTAGGTGCATAAGCCATAGGGGAATGGAGCAGCGCAAGCATTACTCATATTTAACCTTAAATATATTTATAATTTTTATTATTTTAAAGCATGTAACTGCTTGATGCTTAAATCTAAAGAAAATATAAGAAGAATTTCGACGCGGTCCGTGAGGGCCGCGGTAGCATAATTGGTCAGTGCATTCGCCCGAATTGCGAAGGGTGCGGGTTCGAGTCCCGTCTGCTGCCTGGTCCGCGTGGAATTTTTTCTAGTTATATTTTCTTTAAATATATTGTTGCGTGTGACGTTCGTAGCGTTTCAGTCTTCGCCGAGTTACCCTCCAACTTTCATGCTCGTCGCGAAGAGCTGCGCAGGCATCCCGCACATGTATATTCATGTGACGCTCGCGACGTATTTCCGTTTTATCTTTTACATAGGATTTTTCCATTAACACCAAAAACCACCAACCAGCTATTGTTGTAACTTTAAATTTATCCGTTTATTCAACATCGGTTACACAAATTTCGCCTAAACATATAAGATAGCCGGTATGTGATAAAAATGAGAATGTATGTACATATACAACATGTGCAAAAGTACGTTGACCTGATCTTGGGCCATTTGGTAGCTTCGTGACTGTTCCCCGATCATCGAAATTTCAATCGTAAACAGTTTTTTTTATTAAGTATCTATCACACGATGATAACAGCTCTTCTAAAGTTACAAAGTTTTGTTCTGATGTATAAAAAGAAGATTATTCTAGTAATTTAACATTTAGACAGAGGAGGAAAGAATTTTAACTAGGTAGTTATTTATAATAAACAGAAAGAACGACAAACATTTTAAGTACATTACGAAACTTGCGCACTAGCAATCCTACTGATATGTATTATAAATGTGAAAGTTTGTATGTTTGTGTTTTATTTAATCACGCAAAAACGACTATACTGATTGGGTTGAAATTTAATATGCATATAGTTTGTGACCTGGATTGATATAGGGAAAACTTTGGGTTCCTGTGAGGTTCTCAAAAAAAATTAAGGTTGATGCGGACCAGTTTTATATCAAATACTTTGTTATTCAAGTTTGCCTTGGTTTTATTCAACACATTTGTTGCCAAAACAGCTTCTTTTTTCAAATTTCATCAATAATTCAGCTTACCCTAAAAGTTTCTCTAAACCAACACCGGTTGAAGTGTTGAACTAGGATTGAACAAGATTCTCTTTCAACGCAGTTTTTGACGAAGCTTTCACTTTTCGTTTCCGCTGTAAATGATATTTCGCACAGATTTTCTTAATAGTTAACATTGAAATAGTTTTTCGCGTTACTGTTTAAGAGTCACTTGCTATTTGGCGCTTTTTTTTGCTGTGGGGAAAATACGTTACGGATACCCCACCGTCTGACATGCGGCAAGGTCATCTGGGGTTCCGTTTCGACTTATCCAACGGAAATCCATTCGATGAGTCCTCGGACTAAAAATCGGTACGGCACGGTTGGGTACCTGAAAATCCGTCTCCGACTCACCGGGCCGCTTACTCCCTAGACCGATCTCTACTATTGCTCTTCCCCAGGTCGGGTGCTTCTCTAAAACCAAATATTCGGCGCTGCTACAACGCTGCGCTGGGAACTGAAATTTTGTAATTTCTCTTTGTATTTTGATACAATGTTAAGTTCGCCCCAACGGTCTGACCTCAAATTTTAGAGCCAAAAAACTTTCAGTTAGAGAACTGAGATTGCACGCCTGAATTAGAAGTAATATGATAAAATGCATGATATATTATGATTAGTAAAGTAAAATGAAAAAAAAAAATACAATTTGTGTTTTATCGCCATCTTGAAACGAAAGATGAAAAGAACTTAGCTTTCATTTTTTTAATTTACAAGGACCATATAAGCATTAGTTTTTAAAGAAAATTTTCTTAATATTTTTGAATACTGCACTCGTGAAAAAGAAGGTGGTAAAGAAAGGAGGAGCTCGATGGCGCGGTTGGTTACTGCGTTCGACTGCGATCGTTGAAGTTAAGCAACTTTCGCAGTGGTCGGTCTTTGGATGGGTGACCAAAAATTTACTATCTCGAATTCCTCCGTGCTAAGGAAGGCAAGTTAAGCCGTTGGTCACGGCTGCATCTGCAGTCGTTAGCACCCACCAATCCGCATTGGGCCCGCGTGGTTGGGTCATGGCCCAAACTCCCCTATTCCAGCCTTAGGGAAGGCCTGTGCCCCAGCAGTGGGGACATTAATAGGCTGATGATGATAATATGATTAGTAACGTAAAATGAGCAAAATTAATAGAGTTTGTGTGGACTCCACGCGTCTTATCCTTTAATCTTAATCGATTATCAATTTTGTAACAAGCCGTGTCAAGTCATTTGATTAGTTTAATTGTTTTGGATAACTTGATCCATGTTTGTATTTTATCACCACCTTGAAAAAAAAAGATGAAAAGAATTTTGATTTTTTTTTTAATTTACAAGGACAATTATAAGCATTAGTTTTTAAAGGAAATTGCCTTAATATTTTTAAATTCTGTACTCGTGAAAAAATGTGCTCCAGAAAAATACACGTTCTTTTTAACGTTTTTTTCGTGATAGAAAAAGGACTGTTTGTTTTTGCATCTCTAAATATGATACAGCTGCCAACATTCCCACGCATATAATATGCACCTACTTATAATATTAATGTTTTATGGTTGCAATCTTTTGTTACTGCTTCGGTAATCCCAGACGTAACATAAGCTGAAATTCGAGCAGAAAATAAAATGCCCTGTCTTCCGCCGCTCAGCTAAACGTTTCTGTATTGTTCCAGCAACAGAACTCCGCCCCTCCCCTGGTGGACTGGTCTGGTCTTCCCACATTGGTGCTGCTAGTGGCCGCTGTGGTCGCGGCGACGGCTGTGGCAGTCCGCGCGGTCGAGACCCGTCCTAAAGGCTTGCCGGGGCCCCCTGCTCTTCCGCTGCTGGGCACAAGATGGCTGTTCTGGAGTAGATACAAGATGAACAAATTGCACGAAGCGTATGCAGGTGAGAAAATTACAAGTTGGGATGTTTTCTAAATAACTGAGGAAAATTATTTGGGAAAAAGAAGATAAGCTTTTATTTTCATTTATCTATATATATAAAACTCAAAGGTGACTGACTGACATAGTGATCTATCAACGCACAGCCCAAACCACTGGACGGTTCGGGCTGAAATTTGACATGCAGGTAGATGTTATGACGTAGGCATCCGCTAAGAAAGGATTTTGATCAATTCTACCCCCAAGGGGATAAAATAGGGAATGAAAGTTTGTATGAAACTTTGTCAATTTTAAACCGATCGGGCTGAGACTTTGCATGCAGGTATAAGAAGAATCATAGATGAATGTCATTGTGTATAGTACAAGCCTGAGAACAAAACTGTAGTCTACACTTCAGCTCTACACCGAAGCGAAGCGAGGGCGGGCCGCTAGTTAGGTATATGATGAGAGTCACAAGTCAAATTACCTAAAGGTGGCCACTCACCGTACTACCGCTTGATTGAATAGGCTTGATCAAGCCAAACTGATCGTATGTGGGGAGACATTATGAAAGGACATGCCTTGGACGACGGAAGGATTTTGGCTTGATCAAGCGGCATGATGGTGAGTGGTTCAGAAGTTCAGCTATACCCTTCCTTCTCTTAAAAGTTAACGAAGTCACGGGCGGCCGCTAGATGCAAATATTATAGATGCTAAAGTCTTAAAACTCTGCTATTATAGAGGCAGACAGCCTCTCTACTACCTCTTCACAAGTAGTTTCACAAGAAAATAAAAATACAAGAAATAAAGTTTTAGAATACCCAGCCAAAAGAGTACAGCAATCAATTAAGAGACACAAGAGCTAATTACACGGTAACATATAAAATAAGAATACAAAAATAGATAGTTACGACATAAACAGATAAATATATTAATAAAGATATCATAATGTCTCTGACTCGAGTCAGAGGAAGCAGAACTATAAAGATAAAGAAAACCACCAAACCGATTGTGATAAAATTTGGTACAGAGATAATTTGAGTACCAAGAAAGGTTATAGATTAGTTTTAAGCTCAGAAAATATCCTTTAAGGGGGTGAAAATGGCAGTGGAACTTTTTATGGGAAACCAATTGTGCCACGCAGACAAAGTTGCGAGCATTCACTATAGATCATTCTGTAACCACGCCTTAATGACGTAACGTCTGGCATCGGTCTCGCCACTAACATAGGTATTAACAATTTAATTGCAGCAAGACCTTTTATGGATACAATTTGAAATCTCATAAAACAGGTGGTCTGTTTACTTACAATACCTACTTAATTCTCAGATAAACGTAAAGTATTAAAGATTTTAAGCAAAGGTGTCCCGTAGAGACAATGGACAATGGATCAGTTATCGCTTAGTGTCCAGTTCGCAATGGGTATATTCCACAGAATACAGAAAGATCAGTGGAGATCGCTGATATTCAGCCACAACCTTATTTAACCAATATATGCTCAATGATATGACACCCAGGGGCATATTTATTGTAGGGCCAAAAGGGGCCCGGGCGGCAGACTGCGAGGGGCGGCAGCAAGACCTGTGAGGGTTGGCAGAAGCCATACAAAAAATTGGTTACTGATCTTTACTAATTAGAGATGCAAATCGTAAATGACCCGGTTCGCCAGATTTTAGAATACGCCCCTGATGATACCAACAAGTTAAACACAGAAAGAGGTTAGAAGGGTCTTGTGTGCGGGGCAAGCGCGCCACGTTATGTGTGAGCAAATACTCATAACTTGACCCAAACTTGGTTCTGATTGCGTCGTTACTCTCGGCTGTGAGCGCTGATTGGGTCGATTGTTTGATGACGGGTCGATTGATTGGCTATTATCTATTAGGTGGAAGTGTTAGAGGGGCGAGCCGGCGACACCGGTTCTCGTACAAACGGTTTATTATCACCCTTCTTACCTCTATCTGTGTTCTGTTGTATACTCAGTATAATTTGTTCACGGAAACGAGCTAGTACCGAATAAAGATAAACTTTTTTGTCATTGGCCGGTTTATACTGTTGATATTACTTCAGCCAATAACAACCCCCTATCCCGTGTGACGCAGTTTTTCTTCTCTGTCTTTTGTGAGCGATTGTGTGCAAGAAAAACTATCCATTAGCTAGTTTCTATTAACACAGTGGGTGACCGCGACTCCGTCTGCGTCGAAAATTTAGTTTTGCCATATAAATTTTCCCCTTCTTTAGTCCACTAAGGAGGATTTCTAGATTAAAAACTATTCTACGTCCTTTTCCGGGGCTCAAACTATCTCTATAACAAATTTAATCTTAATCGGTTCAGCAGTTCAAGCGCTCAGAGGTAACAGACAGACTTTTGCATTTATAATATAAAGTACTAGCTGCATCTTTAGTTTTTTGAGAATCCTACAGGAATATTTGTTTCTTAGGTTTTCACGCACATCACTCATTAAATAAAACTAGTTTTTACGGGTTAATGCACGAAAACTTTATTTATTTATTGACGTTTCGCAGCCTTTTCAGGTCTGCATCGTCAGAATAATGATTTTATTTAAAATTGTCGAGCTACCTTCGAAAGAATTATATTGTGCGTTCGGTTATTTCATTGGAAATCAATAAATAAATAAAGTTTTCGTGCATTAACCCGTAAAAACTAGTTTTATTTAATCCTACAGGAACCTAAAATTTTTCCGGGATGAAAAGTATCATAATTTATGTTTTAATCCAGATCATAAACTACATGCTTACTGATTTCAATTAAATCTGTTCAGTAGTTTTTGGTGACGAACATACGAACTTTCACATTTATAATTCACTTTCACGGAGTAGCCCAAACCTACTTTCTGCTCGGTAGGTTCTAAAGCTTTGGGTAGGCCCCCCCCTTCTGGGGAGGAGAGCCCCACATAAGCACCATGTGGTATGCAATTTAATGCATTTCCCCAGGTTCTAAAGCTTGCAGATGCAGGCGGGACTAACACATCTCGAAGTACAGAGGAAAGAAAATTGGTTATAATATAAAAGTTCAAAATTGGAAGCTTAATTTAACTCTAGGCTATTGTTTTCTATTCAAAAATTTTACAACCCATTCCATAATTCGTAATACCAGTCGCGAAACTTTTACTATGTCAGACAGAGCTAACCACTGCGTCATCGAGTCCTCTATTTCCCCTTAACATCACAGCCTATTAATATCCCCACTGCTGTGGCACCGGCCTTCCCTATGAATAGAATAGGGAGATTTGGCCATGACGCTGCATGCATGATTGATTGATTGATGATGATGCTGCATGATTTGGACGCGAGCCCAGTGCGGATTGGTGGAAACTAACGACTGTAGATGCAGCCGGGACCAACAGCTTAACGTGCCTTCGGAAGCACGGAGGAGCTCGAGATAATAAATTTTAGTCACCAATTCAATGACCGACAAAAGTTGTTAAACTTCGTCCGCAGGCAGTACCGTCTTTGACCTATTGGAGGCCCTGGGCATAATAGGATAATGGGCCCCCTATGACCCCCCCTTTGGTGATCCAACAGGAAGTAGGGACTTTGTATTGCTCTTGCCCAAAGTGCCCACTGGAAAAGACGGGTCTGTCCGCAGGCAAAACACTTTATCCACTTGCACCATCGAGCTCCTCTATTTACCCCTATAGATTTATTATAACCTGGCCAAAGCGATTTCGACTTAACTGCACCCGCTGTCACATGAGAGAATTTGCACGCAGACATGTTGAGGCGATACGGGCCGGTGTTCGCCGAATGCACGCCGGGTGGAGTCGCCGTGGTGTCCATCGCTGACAGGACGGCCTTGGAAGCCGTGCTCAGGACTCCAGCGAAGAGACCCTACCGCCCCCCTACTGAGATCGTGCAGGTTTACCGGAGGAGTCGCCCAGACCGGTACGCTTCGACCGGACTTGTTAACGAGTGAGTCGACTTTTGTATATTTCTAGAAAGTAAAAAGCAGTTCTGTGAAAGAAATATGAGTCGGGAACATCGACGCTCAGCATTGAGCTGCGAAGGAGGTGAGAGAGTTGTTTTCTAATTCAGCAACTGCAAGCTGCAAGACTTCGTAACAAATCAAAATCAGGTACAGGTCGCGGCACGTAATTCTAACGCTGAGCAAAACGCGGAGGGGATAGCTGCGCATGGGTACGACTGGAGAGCCAATCGGCGCAACGCACGCCCACCCGCGCACCTCGTCTCCCCCCAAAACATCTTAATTTTTACTTCTGCGCAATAACGGTCAGCGCTAGAGTTTCGTGCCGCAAATTATAATTTTAAGTAAGAGTGCCCAGGATCTCAATAAAGACGAGTGTCATGCACACCGGGCGGAGTAGCCGTGGTGTCCATCGCCGAGAGGACGGCCTTGGAAGCTATGCTCAGGACTCCAGTACCCCTAGCACGAACCAATATCGAATTCGTATCGCTTGCGATTCCGAAATGTCATTGTCAAATGTGTACTGATTTTTAGTTCTCGTTACGTACTTTGTGCCGCTGCTGTTCAAGTTTCCATACAAAATTTGACATTGACATTTCGGTTTGCAAACTATTCGAATTCGATAATGGTTCGTGCTAGGGGTACAGCACACATCATTATTAATTTTTTTACCAAAATAGTGTATAAATATTATAGGTGTAAGTATAGGAGGAGCGGTCCAGATATATTTGTGAAACAATGAGTTGAATTTTGTAATGTTGTATTTTTATTTATTTAAGCTTGTAACTGCTAGATGTAATGTTTCTAGAAAGTTCTATTCTATTTAGCGAAATGCACTCCGAAAAAATTGGTAATGACTCAAAATTTTACCTAAGCTGAGATGTGCACTCAGGCTCGGCATACGCAACTTTACATACCTTAACCCTCTTATTAATAAGCAAGGAATAAGCTTGGATTATTTACGCCGTGTTTTGTTCATGTCCTCACTCAAATGCCATTTGTCATTCAATGAATAGAGACAAAACATAGAGTAACTAATCCAAGTCTAATCTTCGTTAATTAATAAAAGGGCTAGAGTTCGTAATCAGAGGCGTCTTTACTTATGGTGCAGGGTGTGCGTTGCACACGGGCGCACAGTCCTAGGGGGCGCCGAGCGCCGACGCCGCTCGCTACGAAGCCCCACTTGGCGCACACGATGGCCGTGTGACTTATTTATTTATTTATACTTAATGCACAAGTGTACAAAGGCGGACTTAATGCCATAGACATTCTCTACCAGTCAACCATAGGGTGTTGTGGATAAAAAGTGGTAGGGTGCACAACTTACATGGAAATTACAGAAAGACGAACATATATAAATATGAAGCAGTCATATATATAATCACACATACATAAATAATTACTTACATATAAATAACTATACATATACTACATACATATATAAATATACATACTAATACATAATAATGACGACTAACATTTAAGCTAGACTGCTTGTTTTTGTAAAAAGCTCCGTATTCTATTATCTAGGGGGAGTTCGTTCCACAGAAGTATAGTTTTGACGAAGAAGGACGAGTGAATCATATCAGAGCGATGAGATGGAACAATAAGTAAGCGATTTTCTGATCAAAAATCGAAGATTTTTAGCATGAGAAGTACATACTGAAATTGGGAAGTGAGATAGAAAGGGGCATTTGGAGATTCCAGCAAGGAGAACAGAGTGGTCAGAGCCCGCATACTTCTGCGATGCCTAATAGGCATCCATTTTAGAAGTGATCGGTACCTATGCGGACTTAGTTCTTCAAATTTAATTTCCAAACAATAGAATTTATTATTCATTATTGAAATTTGACAGTTTGCTGTAATTTGTTCCGCTATAACTTGTACTTTGTACCCATTCCATTGTGACCACACGCTTACTAGGGGGCGCTAGGGTAATTTTGCACACGGGCAGCACATGGGCTAGAGACGCCTCTGTTCGTAATGAAAATGTTGAAACACCGGATAGGTTCATTTGTTTGTCATAATAATGCTCCTTACTTCGTATTAATGAGTGAGTATTAGCCGAAAAAAAATGGGTGCGTGTACTTATGTAGGCGCGTGAGAAGTTATCCTTCTTTGGCATCGTTTAAAATTAGTTTTTAATTGCATGCAAATAATTAATTACAATAAATTAATAAAAAGTCTGGAAAAGGACACAGTCAATAAAGTTCAGTTTTAATTTGAAAAAATAAATAAATAATCAAAATATTCAATTAAAATCGCTACTGAATATAATTTATTAGAACATATGTGACTTGCACTTGTATGAAACTCAAACACGTATTCCGAATATACAAACTAGAAACATGTGGATAAATATTATAAATATGAATACCTATAACTGTTACTTTATTACAAAAAATAAAGATGTGGTTTTTGGTTCTGCTACACCAATGGTCAAGAGATGGCGCTGTAGTCTCCTGAATCGCGCTTTGGTTCCGTTGTTCCAGATTAATAAATACTTTTGATAGGCCTTCACAATGCAGTCGTTAGCACACAATAAATAGAGATTCTATTTCTATTTTGTTGGTAGATTTTCTTAATGTGCGGTAAACACAAAAGTAACGCATGAAGGTGGTCGCTAAAGCGACCAACTTCATGCTGTTAAAATTTTGTGTTACAGTGATGCGCGCGCATCTTAAAATTTCACTCTCATCATTTTTTCATAACGCGCCTAAAGAAGTATAACTTCAAAAAATGCTCATATAAAGATTCTTTGCACTACATAATACTTAAGATAAAAATGTCCATCTGTGTCAGCAGGACGTAGAAAGCATTTAAATGTGAAGCAGTTAGCTTCCAGGTACTTATCGTTTAGAATATTTCGAAAGCGACATTAAGGTCGATTATGTGACCGAATAGGGACCTTGACCCAATTGTTAACTATCTTAAAGTAGTCATGTGAAAGGAATCTGTTTGGAACAGTTTTCTACTTGGACTGTTATAAAAATAAATCGGAATGGAAAGGCTCATTAGTACGATATTGTTTATGATGACAGTAAACATAAGTGACCCGGAAAGGGTTCCAGCATATTATCGTTGGTTCGTGTGGTAGTAAAAATCGGACTAGGCACTGATAACAGAAATACATTTATTTTTAAGTAGTCCCCCCCCCCCCACCCCCCATCAACTGTGTAAGCAAAATGGCTCTCAAAAACCCTCTCTGTGTTAGCCCTCCATTTTGTTTTTCAAGGGCGGATTTTCTTCTTATTATTCGAGTTCTACTGTACGTCCAGGCTTCATTTAAGTCTTAAATCAACCCTGAATAGTTTCTCTACTAACTTATCTTTAAATATATATTTATATTTACATAGAGATATTTAACATTACAAAAGCTTAAAACTACTTAATGTCTAAAAACTCAAAAACCGGAAATAACTAACTATACAATTTACAAAATAAAAAATATATCACCCCCAGCGCCGCTGTCAGGAATGGTGCCCAATAGGCTGGTAGCATTGCCATGTTGGATAGCAAGGCTAATCCGTTGACCAAGGTAGCTGCCAGTATTTTGATCACCTGTCGCCTCGGTGAGTCCCATAGACAATTCCTTAAAGAAGGAACGAGCGCTTGGACCCCATGGTCCCATAGTCTCAACACCAAACGGCACAAATATATAGTTCTCATTGAGAGCTGAATATTTGCGCCGCTATAACTTATCTACCAAAAAATATGAGAAATGAAAATATTTTTCTCAACTCGTGGCAGATATCTGCCATCTCCACAGACAGGGGTTTTTAGACGTTGGCAGAAATCTGCCATTTACACAGACCAGGGGGTAGGTAACAGAAGACACTAAGGGTGTATTCCGAAACATACATCAGTATACTAGCCAGTGGTAATGACGTCACGAATCCGACGCCATATTGTACTGTTATGCTACCATATTTTTACCGGGAAAACGAATATGACGTATGATCGAGCGTGCGTGAGATGCATTCGAATTTTATTTCTTTTTTATTTAAAGAACAATAATGACATTCGTACAAAAAGAATTCCTTTTAATTGATGAGGTGAATAAAAAATCTTCTTTATTCGCACTATTTTTAATATTTATGACGTCAGTGCACTGGCCTGTATATTTCGGAACAATTCACCAGTATAGCGTCGATTCATGACGTCATTAGCACTGGCCAGTATACTGGTATATATTACGGAATACACCCTAAATTGCTTATGGTGTCTCCAAACGCTTGGCGAACAGACGGCAAACAGCCAACACAAGCGTGAGGAGGCCTGTCAAGCTAAGCACTCGGCCTAATTTTTGTCTGACTTTACGGGTTGGACTTTTTATTTTTTACCTCCACAGTATCAGTAACAACAATAATATCAGTTTATTTCGGTGGAGTAATATGGGTATGGGCGCAAAAAATTGTACAAATAACATTCATGACATCGTAACACACGTTACGTACATGACAGAACGTTACATACATGACCATCATAAAGCTTAGTTCATAATAGAACCTATTTAGTACAGTCAATCTGTCGAAAAAAATATCGTTTGAGTGAAAAAAAACCTAAAGGGTAAGTCTTGTTTTTTCTGTTGCCAAATGACGTCAGTAAGCCACCTTGGCGATGGGCATGTTCAACTCGTAGGCGTTTTTTGAAAAACTCAAAAAAACCGTCAAAATTTTTTTGAAACGCATTTTTCTTGTTTTGTATGCATTTTAGAAATTTTTTTTCGACCATAATTGTAGAGGGCGTTGAGTGCTACAATTTATGTCATTGTTGCAATCTCGTACAACAAAAAATGCTTATTGTAGGTGGCGCTAAAGTCTCAAAAAAGTGTTTTTTCACTTTTTCACCCTGAAAATATCATTTTAATGGAAAACTTTAAATGGCAAAGTTGTTTCGTACATAATTACCAACAACTTTTGTATAAACAATTTTTTTGTATTACTTACTGTTTTCAAGTTATAAATTGCGTAGGTATGAAAAATCC